CGCCCCCCGCCCCCCGTGCGCTCAGCCCTGTCAGCTGCAACAGCCGCGCAGGCCCACCTGGACCTCATGGGAAATTACTTTCTTGGCTGTCCAGCCCCACTCGTCCTCTCCTGCTTGTCAGTTCCTGCCAGGGTGCTTGCAAAATGCTTAAGCAACTAATCGGCAGGGGGGAGCGGCGGGCCCTCTTCAAGGGGGGGAGGGAGAGAGGCGGCGAAAGGCCTCTCGGACCCGTCGGGGTGTCGGGGGGGCCCCAGGCTCAAGTGGTGGCAGGAGGGAGAGTCTGGAAGCGTCAGGGCTGTGCGCTGGTGGCAGCTGATGCCCGTCAGGAATAAAGGGGAGGATGGAGCTGTTCAGTTCTGTTCGCAGTGTGGCTGTCCTGATAAAAGTAAATATTGCTTTAGTGACCCTCTTGCGGCTGTGGGTCCAGTATCGGGGGGTTTTCTGTGCTCTGCTCACTGAGCATTCAGTGGCCCAATTGCCAGGTGGCGATTGTCATTTCTTAAAATAATTTTTTAATTGAGAACAGTTTAAACCCTGTAGTCTGCAGTCTTCCGAGGCAGGCGACGCACAGCAAAGTAATTGATCTCTTTTCCACCAGTCTTAACAATGCTTTGTCTGTATCATCTTGGAACGGATGAAAAGACAGATTCGTCTGGAGTGGAGGCATGCTGAGCTGAGCCTGGGGCCAAATAAGTGTGAATTGCTTGCTAGTTGTCTGTGCTAGCTAGCTTGAGGTACCGAGAAAATTAATTCATGCATTGATCAGTTAAACACGTCGGTTAATTCTCATGATCAAGGTCAAGTCAGAAATACAAATCAGTACGTTGAGCAAGGGCACTTGTTCTTTCTTTGCAGACCGTGCTTGTCCGGCGTGGTGAGCCATGCTGCCCTGCTGAGCCTGTGGCGAGGACCCGTGCTGCTGCTGTCCCCTCCCCTGCCCGTCCCTGACCCCTTTCACTTGTAAAGATGACCCCGCCCTCTTGTCCGCCACACCCCCTGGTGGGCGGGGCCCTGACGCTGACATCCCTTCTGTTGGCTGTGACGGCGCTGACCTCGCCCTTCCCCAGAGACCTGGAGCCAATCAACGTTGTCGACCAGCAGCGTGAGTAACCCTTCGGCGCCTTTGCCAGGGGGCCATGGCATTGGAGGGACATTAGTGCAGAAATCGCTAGCGTACCAGAAAGGACAGTGGCTAACACCACTGGTCACGTGATCAACATTTATCTGTTGAGGAGCAGAAAGAAAGACTGCCTTTGCCCTTTGCAGCACAGTGTGATCTCTTTTCATTTTCTTTCCGAGCTCATGGAAGCTCTGCACGTCACTATGATGAAGCAGAATGGCAAATATAGCAATGACTTCACTGAGAGTTTAGAACAGAGAGCTCCAAAGAAGGCTCAGCTGACACCTTTACCTGCCACTGTGACAGGCAGTGATCTTTCCCTGACAGACTCCAGCTATTTATGAGACCTGATTGGCCAGAATGAAGAATTTATACCCAGGGAGTAGGGGTGGGTGCTGCAGGTCACACATCTCACTCTGATCTCTCAACGTAAAGACAGAGTGCGAGATCTAAGATGGAGTTTGGGACCAGACTGGATTGCTTGGAGCTCTCGGTGATCTTTTGGTTTTATAAAAAAAAAAAGATGAAGGAACTGAACCTGCAGTGTGAAAGAGTAAAACATCACAAGGCAGACCTCTTTAACCTGTCCGCGGGCATGAGAAAGCCGGTTAGGATAAAGGTGATCCGAGACTCTGAACAGAGGAAGAGGCAGCCTGACTCCCCGCAGATTGTAATTTCAGATAAATCATGTGTTTCGAAGGTCAGGACTGGGTTTTTCTCGCTGCTACCCAGTCACATGTTTGTCCCAAGGCTCCAGAGAGTATTAACACGGCTCAGCAGGGCTCCCGTTCCGCCGGCCTGATCTCCCTCCTCCCAGTTTGCTGTTTTTGTTTTGTTTTTAATTTAATAAACTTTCCGTACGCGATGTACTGTAGCAGATTACATAATGCGCAGCGAGCTGGGAACTCTTCCCTTCCGTGACTTATCACAGTCCCGAGTTGCGCTGGGGAAAGTAGCAGATCTCTCCCATCTCCTCGCGGTAAACCACTGCGAATTCATTAGGGTCCAGGAGGGATGCTGCTCCAAGTCAGCTGAGTGAATCAAAGCCCATCCAGCCCCATTTGGTTGTTAGTAGCTAATTGATTCGATCTCATCCGGCTCTTTCTTGAAAGGGTCCAGGGTATTGGCTTCAACTATGTGGCTGGGTAGCTTTCTTCACACAACTGTTCCTGTGAAGAAGTGCTTGATGATGTTCTCAGTTCCAAATGCACTAACGCTGAGGCTCCTCCTATGTCCTCCTTTTCCTGTTCTAGTCTTCATTCTGAAGTCCACTGGATTGGCTTTTCAGTGCCCTTGAGGATTTTGAGTACTTGTATCAGATCCCCTCATGACCTTCTATGTTCCAGGCGAAAAAGGTTCAGTTCCTCCAGCCTGTTTGTGTGAAACACTCCCTTCAGACTGAAGAGACTCAGGTCCTCCAGCCTGTCAGTGGTGGACACTCCCTTCAGACTGAAGAGACTCGGTTCCTTCAGTCTGTCAGTGTGCTTCCTGTTCTCAAGTCCTGGAATGTACCTAGTTGATTCTCTCTGGATATATTCCAGAGCAGCAATATCTTTTCAATAATGTGGTGATCAAAACTGTACACCTCAAAAATCATAGGTTAATAAGTACACAGGTACCTTGTTTAATGCTCCTTTAACATACAAGTGTTCCTCCTCATAGAAACCTAATGGTGAGATCGGTGATGTAATGGTGTCCCATACACCCTGCTGGCCTAGGGCTCTCCAGCACCAGGTTTGACCTGTAGACCAACAGTCACTCACCACCATTGTCCACTTGAGACATTATCGCTCCCTGTGCCCCTCCTGACACAGAAAAGTCAGGTGAGCTACGAGACGCCATTTCAAGAGCACCAGCACCGGGACTCCTGACCTTGAACACAGACAGTGTTCAACAAGTAGCACTCCCCCTCGCTGCTGCCAGACACAGGAAGTGAGCGGATTAAAGCTTCAGATCTACGCCGGCTCTAGACTGTGTCTGAGAAACAGTGTGCTAAATTCATCCTTCCTGCGATGGTACACCTGTGAAATTTAAAGAGCAATGAAGTTCTCAACAGTTAAGTCTCCACGTCTGCTTGATTTTCCAATTTTTTTTACACCTTTGCCCAGTAACAAACCATGCAGTATGTAGGCTGACGGTCATTTTAACAGTATGTCCCGTCTTATGCAGGCCAGCTGCGCCTACAGTATGTAAAGCAGAGAGATTTAAAAAGACTCTCCTCTCGAAGGATGCGCTGTGCTATTTCTAAATGGAAGTCTTTGCTCTAGTTTTATGAGGTAAAGGACTGCTTGTACAGCACCTGGTTCACCAAGGTTGAGAGTAAATTTTGCAGAAAGGGCTAATGAGGAGACTTCCTTTCCTCGACACGCTTGCTCATGACTTCCGTTTCAGATCATCCCGAAACCCTTCAAGACAAGTCTGATCAAGTCCAAGTAAGCACATGGGTGTAATAATTAGGGGATTTAAAACCCCACCTGTGGAGGGTCCCCAATTCCAGAATAGGGAAAAGCAACAATTTTAACTCCTGCAAAGAAAGGGTTTTTGAAAGATCATCTCAGGGCTGCAGGATGTGCTCCGAGAGTCCATCACTGAATTGTGGAGTGTGGACCCACGTAGACGAGGGCCACTCTTTCTTTGTGGGTGATTCTGCTCTGGCGGAGTTCAGCTCTGCCCGTGTGGTTTGGTGTTTCTACCTGCACCCATAAAACATTGTTTTCAGAATCCCACGTGCGGGGTTTCTGCCGGGTCAGCGCCGCTGGCTGTCGGGACCCCAAGCCTCGGTCTCTGTGCGCCGCGATGGGCTTGGACAGCACAGACGATGACCGACCGGCCGGCTCGGCCCGCTGCCCGCTCAGAGACCTGCCGAGTGCTCACTCTCACTCCGTGTTCTGTCCCAGACTCCCTGCAGTACCCGGGGTTCCAGGGCCTGAACTCGGACAACGACACCGTCCGGCTGGGCCTGGACTTCCAGAGGATGCTGCGCATCAACCACATGCTCTACATCGCGGCCAGGTCAGCCCCTCATCGGCCGCCTCGCCCCCCGTACCCCTCGGCCTCTTCCCTTCTCCCCACTGCGGTCGCGCTAAACAATTGGTCTGTAGAGTGAAGGGGAACAGGGGGACAGTAGCACAGCGGCTCCTCGCCGAACACCATGGCTCTGTCGTTGCTGCAATCTGATGCCCTCTGATGATGAGCAAGTCCAGTTTCCACAGGAGGTTTAATCTCAACGGGCAGGGTGAGGTTCCAGGGGCATCTTTGTCGTCAGGCAGAAGACGTCGCCTGCAGACGACTGTCAGACATTTACATAACGTGCTCGCCGGCGATGATCCCCTTGTCTCGTCGGCCTTTCGCCCCGAATGCCTCTCGCCGAGGTCGAGGTCGGAGGTCGACCCAGCGCGCCGCCAGTACCTACTGCACGGTTTCCCATTCCCCCCAGTTTCTCCAGGGCCAGGGTGCGTCACGCGGCCGTCGCCTGCCGCCGTGCGTTGTAAAGGAGCGCGGTCTGTCGCAGGTCTGCTGCTGTACGTAATGATGAATCGGCTCCCCAGCCTAGACGACGCTGAGGCTGCTGCGTGGGGCAGGGAGATGGTGCCCTGGTGGAATTAAACACCCCACCCTGCTCACTCCCCTCACGCAACTGTCTCCCTAAAAAGCTGGGTTATGTCCAGAAGCACAGTTGCTTCCTTGGTCAAGACCCTGTAAGATGTGTAACGGGCCCCTGGGTCACTCTCACGCCAACAGTTCGGATAGGTGTGCTACATAGGAAATAATGTATTCTTTTATTTACATTATAGCGCTCAGTTTATTGTGTCAGATTAAGATATAAATAGATATGAAAAGATAAGTGCAGATATATCGTACCTACAGAGAGAGGGATACAGATCCAGGCAGATACAGAGAAACATAGCAGGATCTCCTACCGGCAGGACTCTACCCACTTTCAAGCTAAGCTAAGGGGACACACTTAGCAGGACTCCTAAAGCCTGCGGCCAACTGGTTAAATTCCCCAAGTCCTGCCTTTTTTAGAGCATCCTGCATTGCTTTCCTGAAAAACAGGGCATGATCATCAATCTCTGGGGCACCAACAGGCACTTAAAGTGCCTCAGTGAGAACAGAGAAAAAAAAATGAGCAGACTTGGTAACTTCTGAGGTTGAATATATAATTTTTTTTTTACAAAAGCTCAGGTGTTGAAGCTATTGGGGGGTGGGCATGCATCGATCTGTAGGTGCCTTTTTTCCCCATGGAGAAAATTTGTCTTTTATGGTGATCCCTTCCTACGTGATGCTCAAACAGACTGGTGACGTTGGTGGGTGTAGGGGGGGTGATTTAAGCTATAGATAGATGGCCTTATTGCTACAGATGGAGACTCTATTGCCTCTTTTTTTAAAAGAAATTCTGTCTTTTAGGGATCATGTTTTCGCCATCAATCTCAGCACCTCAGCCGAGCAGATTGTTCCACAGCAGGTAAGTCTCACCTCCACTCTGTGAGCTCCAGTATCTGACAGCCATGCAGGAAGCAGGCAGAGCTGGGGTGGAGGAGATCAGCTACTAGTGGCATATTGTTAAAGATACACATAGGTAATAAGACAGTGCAAGAGATCTGTTGGACAGGAGGAGACCTTCGTTTCTTGCAAATTTAGTTGCACAGTGGGCTGTCCGATTGAAAAGTTCCTGTGTCGCTCTTTCTTCAAAGAGCCCAGTGCAGCTTGTTCCAGACACCCGCCACTCTTGGTGTAAAAAAGGTACCTCTTGTTTTCTGTTCGAAATGCAATCTATCTCAATGTCCATTTCCCTCCTTCTTCAAGACACTTGTACGCGTAGCCTGTGCCATTCATTCTCTCCAAATTGCACCGTTTCAGCGAAGTGCTATATATTTTGATGTGTTGCACAGAAAATTGGCTGGGCAGCATACCTGCGATAAGGAGTTTAATTCCAGTCTGCTTCGCAGGGAGCTGCAAGATCAGTTCCCTTTTCTTTTTAGATCTATGAGTTTTTTGCTCGTCTCGTTTCCTCAGCCTTATCATCAGCGCCCAGGCCATTAACGATCCCTCATTGCTTCGCTGATGAGGTTCAGTCTCCACCTCCGAAGACAGAAGGGTCATTAAATCTCCCTGAAGGATCAGCCTCCTAATGTCAGGCAGCAGCACATCAGAACTGCTACCTCAGAGCCTTGTTAACTACCTGATAGATTTTTTTTTTTGTCACTGGCATCATTTGCGGCAAGCAGTCAGGGAGAAGGACGTGAGGAAAATACGGATTATTCTGTAAGGGCCATGTAGAGGGGAAAAAAACAGAACTTTGTTAGTGCTATTATATTCGTGAAGGTTGGGACCATATTAGCGCTAATCTAGTTGCTTAACAAGTAATTTAGTTTTTCTTTCCTTCCTTC